GGTTTGTAACAGTGATGGAATAGATTGCTGGCTTGTAAAATTCTCTTTGAGGACCTTTCAATCTTTTGGAAATTCCTCAGTCCATAGTTCAAGACTCTCCTTTTAGTTGTAAATCCACAGTCCAGAGAACTGGAACAGGCAAGAGACAAAATAGAGATGCCTCAACTATCTTTTATATGCTTTGCCATGTGTATGGAAGTTTACTGTCCCAAACAAAGTCCTCAGCCCCTGTGTATGGAAAATTGGAGTCCAGGGTCACATGTCCTTACTTGTGCTTTACTGACTCACAGGAGCAGCCATTGCCCATATTCTTTCTGAGGTGTCCACAAAGAAAGCTTACTGGGAGGGATGAGTTTCAATGGTCCATTGTGAGCTGAGTGTCCTTAATGGACCATCAACACACAGCTGTCTAGCCCTGATATAAATCTATCTGGGCGGGTATCACTCAAGCATACAAGACATCTGACATACAGATACATAGCCAATATTCATAATTTCAGATACAAAGATGATACATGGATTTAACCAGGATAATCATACATGACAAATTGTAACTTTTCCATTGTATAAAATTTGTTGCAATTGCATAGGCTGGAGCACCCAGGGGGGAAAAAAAGTGGGTACTCAGCACCCACCGGCAGGCCCTGCCAATCAGCTCCTCTCCCTCCCCCCAGCGCCTCCCCCCCGCCAAGGATCAGCTGTTCAGTGACGGGCAGGAAGTGCTGAAGGGGAGGAGCAGGGGTAGGAAGAGGCGGAGTGAGGGCAGGGCACGCTCAGGGGAGAAACAAGGCAGGAAATGGTGGAGCAGGGACAGAAAAAGGTGGGGTGGGGCCCTGGGGGAAGGGATGGAATAGGGGAAGAGCCTGGGGCAGAGCGGGGGTGCTTATCAGAAAGTCAGTGCCTCTGTACAACTGCATAACAGTGGTAGCAATACAGATACAAATGGTCGTTTTCAATCATAGAGCATCACACTCATTACTGTTGGAGTTCAAAAAACCACAAACATGCAACATCCTGGTCCAGATGCAACATGCATTTCTTTGATCTTGCCCTCACAAATAATACATAGTAGTAACTTACTTGAAAAGAGAGAGCGAGTGCCATGCATGCAATTTTTCTGACTGGAGAGAGGAATGAAGAGGAAACCCTGCTTGACAGACATTAGTTTCCTTGTGTTATTTTCTAACTCTGGAAATCTTTCAGATATTACAGTGATGAGTGCAGTAGAAGAACCTTAGGAGAATAGAATTAGACAAATGTGATAGGCTATTTGACTGTGCCCTACACTCCTCAGGTTGGAGTATTAATTTGTGAACCATATTATATGCATAAAGTAATTGCCACTAGTGAGTACTACAATAAATTAGGATCTTACCTTTTATGGGGCAGTTATTTGAGTGAAAAATTGAGAATCCTAAGTAATACTGTCATGTAAAGAAGCAGGCATTTCTTTATTTTTAGGGCTATTCTTTGACAGTAATGAGTTTTAAAATAGATGGTGTTGGGTTTTTGTTAGATCATAATCTATTACTAGCAACAGAAATCTAACTAGCTGGCAACAGATTTCACAGAATCCTAGAAATTAAAGATGAGAGTCATCTATTACAGGTCCAGCCCTTTATACCCGTCATTGTGTATCTTTACGCAATGAAGTTAGTGAGACTATTCCCCTGAGTAAGAATTGGCTCCCACAATTTGGCCTGGGATAATTTAGTCCATCTCTCTACTAATACAGGATTATTTCCTTCTATATATTTTTCTAGTGATCCATCCAATTTTGTTTAATATGCACCTAGTGCTCAGTTTTCCACTTCTTTTGAGACACTACTCCACAGTCTAATAGATATCACTGTCAGAAAGCTTTTTCTGATATTCACCTAGATTTTCAGAAGCTTAATTTCATCATATTACTTCTAGTGATATGCTTTTACTCTCTTGAATGATTACTCTTCATATTTGGAGTCAATGGTATAACTCAAATGAAGCCAATGGGTCTTGGCTGATACATGTCTGTATTTTCCGACCCGAGCCTACTACATGCTGGGCATCCATAACTGCTATTATACCTTGAGGATAGCTATCACATCTACTTTTAGACATCACTTCGCCATACTATTCATATTTTCTCTTTTAGTCATTCCTTCCTGATCCCTCTTCATTTTCTCTGATTTTCCCCATATTTGTCTATATTTTTCTGGGATTGCAGTGCCTAGAAATGAATACAAAATTAATGTGTACTCAAGGAGCTTTGACAATTTTTATTTCTTTTAGTATGAAAGATTGTCTCTTGCTAAATGAAATTTAGCTTGCCCTCTATTTGAAATGTGCTCTGATAACTGGAATATTTAAGGCCACGTTCTCTTCTCACATCTATATTGAAAGGCATGTATTGTTGTTGTTATACTGCTCTAGATCCCCAGCAGAGGAGTTCCATGTGCAGTTCAAGATCACAGTGTGGTCTTCAGAAGCTTTTGTAAAAGTTACCCTATTAGTTAAGTAAATACACCTGTGCTTTTACAATCTGACAATATTTTGCCCTTCACTTTGGTGTTCGCTAGCCTCAATAGTTGGTGACTTTGGTTAAAAGAAACCAAGCATTTTTAACAAATCGCTTAAGCTAATTACATTATTTGTATAATGGTAGCACCTAGAAACTCTAAATAGAATTCAAGGCTGTATTGCACTAGGCCCTGTACACAAAGTGCTGACAATTTATGCATATCAGGAGACGGGGAGAAAACAAATACATGAAGAAAGGACCAGGCAATAGTATGATACTATAGGAAATGAGGTTCTCTGTAAAGCCAGTTCAGGACCTGAATCTGCAGACTGCTGGCAAGTGATGCTCATGGAAAGTAATGGTAGTCCTACCTTTGTAAAGACTTCAGGATTGAGGTTTAGCAAGTCTAAATTACTGTTCTATCTTGTTTTCAAGCTTCATAGGAGTACTTAGGCTTTATACATATTTTTCAGCTAACCAAGCGATCTAAATGCAAATTCATCACTCAAGGACACCATATGAACATATGCCACTCTCTGGAGCAGTGGCTCTCACTCTTACCAGACTACTGTTCACTTTTCAGTAGTCTGATTTGTCTTGCATACCCCAAGTTTCACCTCACTTTAAAACTATTTGCTTACAAAAATCAGACATAAAAATACAAAAAAGTGTCACAGCATACTACTACTGAAAAATTGCTTGCTGTCTCATTTTTACCATATAACTATAAATTAAATCAACTGGAATATAAATACTGTACTCACATTTCAGTGTATAGTGTGGTAGAAACAAGTCATTGTCTGTATGAAATTTTAGTTTCTCCTAACTTTGCTAGTGCTTTTTATGTAGCCTGTTGTAAAAATAGGCAAATACAGTGAATCCCCGCTATAACATGATGATTGGGGTCCAAAAAATTCGATCGCAATAAATGCGGGGTCGTGGTATAGCGAGGTTTACCATTTCAAGCCAGTCAGTTTCAAGCCGGTCAATTTCTCTTGGGCAGAAAAGGACTTGCGTTTGCAAACTGCCCATAACAGTAACTGAAAGGGTGCAGCTCTAGCAGCGGGGGCTCTCAGCCATGCAGCGAGAGAGGGAAACACTTGGGGAGAGCAGGGGAGACGTGCAAGGGGCAGAGGAAGAGCGAGGAGCAGTTGGGGAGGAGAATGGCTCTTCTCACCAAAAGGAGAAGCGGGGGTAGGGGGGAAGAGGCAGTGGGGAAGGCACATTCCATTTTTTGTTTTTTTTCTTGGGCAGCGCTCCAGTCCTTTTTTTTTTTTCTTTTTTTCTTTTTTGTGCTTTGGCAGCACTCCGGCCGTTTTTTTTGTTTTTTGTTTTTCTTTTTTGCGCTTCCGCGGCACTCCGGCCGCTTTTTTTTTTGTGTGTGTGTGTTGCTTGGGGCGGCCGGAGCCACCTTATGATCACGTTATATCCGAATTCATGTTATTGCTGGGCGCGTTATAGCGGGGTTTCCCTGTATCTAGATGAGTTTATGTACCCCCTGGAAAACCTCTCCGTACCCACAGAAGTATGCATACCCCTGGTTGAGAACCACTGCTCCGGAGAACATGAGTACTGAAATGAATGACTATATTAAACCAATCTAGCAATGCCGGCTTTTAAAATATGACAAAATATTGATATTTCTCATTTTCACTAACTTTCAGATCACTGTGAGAAAACACAACAGAATGGAAACAACTGATGCTAAATGTGAGAAGAGGTTAAAGCATTTTGTGACATGGAATGAAGAGATTGACATGTTATGTCCTAGCTTGTGGCATGCTGGAATCTAATTGCCATGCTACATCTTAAAAGCCAGCATATGAGGAAAAAACTTGCAGAGAGCAGTGAAAGGCGTTGGGAGACACACCTAGACCCCTCCTGACAAGGACGACAAGATTAAGACATCTCCATTAGCATACAGAATGGAGAGCAGAGAACCGCACTGAACTCTGGGACTAGAAAAAGCAGGGAAGCACTGCATCATGGGAATCTCTGCTCCAGATGCTAATGAACTTATGCCTGCACACACCCAGCTCAGCAGTTATCAGACCAATTCTAGTAATGAATCCTTTATTGATATCCAAATACTGAAGCAGCCTAGTTGCATTGTGCTGCGTGACCCAGTCCATGGAGCCCAGGGGCATATAAGGAGAGGCAGCTTTGAAAGTGCTGCTTCATCCAGCCCAGGGAGTCCAGAGACATATAAGGGGTCAGCTTGACAGTGCTGATTGACCAGGTCCGCTCAGACTTGCTCTGTTAATGTATGTGTGGGTGTGTTCATCCGGTTCTGGGGCTGTAGAAACCCAGCCCTAGGGAACCTAGGTCCTGCAGGATAGCTCCATTGGGAGGGGACTTGCAGAAGGGAGAAGTAGAGCTCCATATGAAAACACAAGTGACATAAGCAGTACATTGATAGAATTACATAATCCCCGCCCCCACAAGAGTAACCTGAATAAATGAGCATACCCCAAAGTAACAGGCAAATCTGGTAACAGCATGGATTTAAATTGTAGTGTATATTTATTAACATAGCTTTTCCTGAGAGAAGTGAAAAATCAGTATTGTTGGAAAACTGCCAACACTACATGGGGAAAAGATTAACATCTGGAAAATTCATCTCTGACTGCAGCATGGCAGCTGGTTTTCTTCCCAAGAGAAGTCTAGCTTAATTTAAAATATTTTTTGTTTGGTTACAAGTTGTTTAGTAACCTGTTTTCTTTTACAACAAGCCCCAGCAGTTTTGTTGTATAACTGGTGTCATGTCTGTTTAGTGATTCCATCCAGGTTTTGTTCTTACAGCGCTGAAAATAAATGTAAAAAATAGTTAATCAAAATAAACAGCAGACAGGTGTTGCCTGATGGACAAAGTATGAATTTATTGGTTATATTATTGGAAAGGAAGTTAAGTTTTGCTTGGTTTACTGATGAATGTTTATAGTAAGTAATTATTGTTAACTAGGTCACTTGTTAGAAGGGAGTATTTTTTAAATGTTTTGGAGAATCCTGATGAGGTTAGTAGTATTCCATGGAAGCATTTTTTTTAAGCTTCTTAGGTTAGATATTTAACACAAGTTACATCAAGAGCAGATCAGAGGACTTGTTCTGTTATCCTTAGACCATACTGGACCATGAGGAATATGCATTTTTTAATCTGTATTACCATCCAGTCCTTGATTAAATTCTTTACTGGGTTTTGAAGGCAGAGATTACAGCTTTCTTTTTGGAGATTGTGTTTTTATTAGTGCAGGCATATATTAGAAAATCATTGTATCTATGTAACGTAGTGTCCCAAAGCTATATAAGAACATAAGGGTGAATATAATGCAAAGATTATATATAGGTTAAAGCCCCAATTCAGCAATGCATTTACACATTTGCTTAACTTTAAGAAAATAAGCCTTACCAAAGTCAGTGGGATTACTAACATTCTTAAGTGTTCTGATTAATCAAAATTTCTTAACTCCTGAGTCATTAATCAGTTTTAACGACAGTATGTTCTCCATGAGTCTGTTGGACACTTAGGTTGCTAACTATGGTACTGTACATACTCAACAGCTCTAGGTTTAAATTTTATTAAGCAAAATAAATCTGAAACAGAAGATATATATAACTAAATAGTAGGAGACATTTTTCAATGGAGTATTTGGCTTGCTTTGTGTAGTCTTGTTTTTTTCTCCTCAATATGGTCTCTTCCCCCTCGAAAAATCTCTGTATTGTGAATTAATTCTCCTCCCTCTAGGCAATGAGTAGATGAATGAAAGGATATATGAATGAGAGCTTGGAGGGGGGGTTTATACACTCTGGCTATCCAGAACCTCGCAACTAAAGCTATAGGACTTGGAGACTAATGTCTTGATGGATAGCTGTGTCCATTCTTCTTCATCAAACAAATCCCACTGAAGGTGAAAGTACAGAATGGAGACATCTGGAGGACAGGCAGCTTCTCTAGCATTGAGGGAAATGGTACAGTAAATCCTCGCTTAACATTGTAGTTATATTCCTGAAAAAATGTGACTTTAAGCAAAACAATGTTAAGCGAATCCTATTTCCTCATAAGAATTAATATAAATAGGGGGGGGTTAGGTTCCAGGGAAATTTTTTTCACCAGACAAAAATGTCTGATGAAAAAAATTTCCCTGGAACTTAACCCCCCTATTTATATTAATTCTTATGAAGACATATATAGTGACAAAGCTCCGAGCCTGTATTGGTGGATCCCACGCTTCCAGGCAGATTCAGTGGCCTCAGAAGCTCACTAAGGGCCCCAATATGATCTCCCTTTCTCAGTACAGCAGCAAATGTCACAGCTTATTGAGCTACTTTCATCAAAGGCCAGTATGGGAGATGGGAAGGTGGAATACCCACAGTCTCTGTTGCTCCTTAGAGCTCAGTAGGTACAGTTTGGCCTCCTGCCTGGACCAAAGTCTGCTTCCCCTCTCAAGGGGATCTCTGTAGGGGGGGCGGGGAGGGGAAACCCGGGCCCACCCTTTACTCCGGGTTCCAGCCCAGGGACCTTAATGGTAGCAGCTGTTGGCAGCTTTCCCTTCACCACTGATGCTGCTTTGATTCCCTGGGCCACTTCCCCATGGTCCCCTTTTCCTAGTTTCACCCTTGATTCAGGAAGCTTTGTCTCCTCCAGCTCTTTTCACCGAGGCTTCTCTCGAGAAGAGCTGGAAAGGAGAGCTTTTAAGCAGTATGAGTAGGACCTTAATTGGTTCCAGCGGTCGCCATTAGCCTAACGACCTTAACTGACCCTTTGCCAGTTAATTGTGGTCAGGTGCCGGCATTAGCCTAACGACCTTAACAGGTTAAATTGGCATCAGGTGTCTTGATTAGCCTGGAGTAGCCTTTGTTTGGCTATCCAGGGAACAGGGACCTGCTCATTCTAAGGCCGCTATACCTGCCTTCCACTATTCTCTTATATCCTTCTGGTATACACACACATATACCTACAGAGGGCGGAAGAGGATAGGATGTTGCCCAGGGAATGCCTTACTGATAAATGATGAACTAGCACTCGGTTGAGCCCTCAAGGGTTACCACATTGTTATATGCCCTCACACTCTACAAGGCAGCACAAATGAAGGGAGAGGAGACAGCATGGCAGGCAGCGACACACACCCTGTGTGTGAGAGAGAGAGAGAGATACGCATTGCCCCTTTAAGTATGCTGACGCCACTCTAAGTACACTGCCTTTTTAAGTAGATCAGCAAGTTGAGACAGCAGCTGCTGCCAGCAAGCTCCCTCCATCTTGAGTCCTGTCCTGTCTCCCCCTTCCTCCCATAGAGATGGGATAGGCGGGGGGCAGGAGCAGGGGGGAGGAGGACACCCTGACATTAGCCAATCTCTTTCCCCCCCCTCCCGCACAGCAAACAGGAGGCTCCTGGGAGCAGCTCCAAGGCAGAGGGCAGGAGCATCACAAGGCAGTGTGGGGAGGGACAGCTGAACTGCTGGCAATTGATAGCCTGCTGGGCAGCTGCTGCACACGGAACTTAGGGGAGTGGGGAGCTGATAGGGGGACTGCCGGTCAACCTTGCTTCCAAGCCCCCACCAGCTAGCTGCAACGGGCTGCTCTTTCTGCAAGCAGTAGACAAAGCAGGCGGCTGCCAAATAACGTTATAAGGGAGCAGCCTTTCCTTTTGTGTTTATTCCCTACTTCCTGTGGGTACATGTTTAGCTCCTGATTCTCTCTCGCCCACTTTTCCTGTTTTTTTCTTTTTACATTCTCTCTAGGTGCAGCGTTTTCAGGTCTCATGCTGCTTCCTCCCTTCTTGCCAGGAGCAAGAGCCTCTTTTTGAGGGCTCTGACATTTGTGGGGTTGGTTTTGCCCACTGGCATCAGTATTTCCCAGACATGAGTTGATTGCTGATGTATCTCTCTCCCTGTTCCCCAGTGCTTATGTACTATAGCCTATATTCCTCAGCCATTTGGTGGACCAGCAGCCTGATTTGAGAGTTCGAGACAAAGAAAAACCCAACTACATCTTGCTGCTCTCCAGAAACACCACCATTAAGGCTGTATCTATAAGCCGTAATGGAATCCCAGTGTCTTCTGCAGAAGCAACCCCCAGTCAGGGTACACTTTCTGGACTTCAGCAGAGATATCCAGTAACTTGTTTCAAGCATCTGAGCACATTAATCTATCACTATTACATCAAAGTGATTTTCAGGAAGTAACATCAGTGGGCCGTCAGGGAAAGCTCAAGTATTTATTGTGAGAACATTAGCTGAGGGGAGAGCAACATGAGAAGATACTCCTCCCACAGCCTACCTCCTGAAGGTTATTCCATGAGAGGGGATGCTCTAGATCTTTACATGTAAAATGCAGATATTGATACTTAACACTTACATGAGTATTGTGAGAACAACACAGAGCACTGAAAGATGCTATATGGGCGTGCAAATTGATCAAAATTCCAAACAACAGAACTACCATCATAATTAGCACTAACCAATGTGTTTGTTGGCAGTATTAGCAAAGAGTATCTAAAACACTCACCCCAAAAATGATTGAAATACAATTGGACTAATACCCTCTCACATAAACCAATATAAAACAGAAATAACTACTCTAAAAATCAGTGGAGCTGTACTATTCTAAACCTATTGCAAGAAGATAATCAGACTCAGTGGTGGGGACTGGGGATAGCATGAATGGTTCTGGCTGGCGCTATACCTATTCTCATATAAATTTGAGGCCTTCCATTGTTATCAGTCAACACTTTCATGAGCACTAAATTAACTTTAAATTTATTATATAAGACAAGGATTCCTTAAGAAGTAAGTTTCTTACCCTGAGATAATCATCATCACTTTTACTCTCAACATAAACTGACTCCTTTCCTATGGATTCTCCAACTTCGAAAAAAAAAACAACATTGAAAATTTCATAGGAAAATGGAACTTCTGTATCCAAGCAATTACCACATTTGCATATGAATTACCTTGCTGCTCCTGTTTTGCTCATTTTGGAATCTTAATAGAAAAGTTTCATATTTTTGATTTCTCAGAGGTAAGTGTCATACTGAATGTTACCCAATAGATTTGGCTCACAGCACAACCTAGCTTTTTTAGTAATTTAAACAAGTGATTTCCATTATATAAAATCAGTATTGTCATATCAGATGTAAAAGTACATTAGTCTTAAATTGGTAACCTTTCCAGTTATGCAGATGATGACAAATATACTCAAATGAATCCGGAAGCAAGTGCAAGTAATAAGGCAAATCTCAAAAGATGTGGATCTTTATCAGAACTATTAGAACCTCTTGCATTTGCAAATCTGTATACGCTGGAAATCTTCTGAGAGCAAGCTCCCAATTGCCATTACATTTTGCTTTTGGTCAGGCCCAACATACCATCAGGGTAGCCTCTTTAAGTGGTTTGGTATTTTAGCACATGTACTTCTACTTTCTGATATAACCAGGAAATATAATTAATAATTAAGACTCACATTACGTATTATTATATCCATCGCACTCATGAGGGAATTAAAGCATAGTAAAATTAAGTGACTTGATCAAGGTTACAGAGGAAGTCTATATTAGAGTTAGTAAAAAATGCAGCCCTAATATTTGACTTTAAGAGCTGGGGCTTTAAAAACACCAATTATGTGAGAATTGAGATAATATCACATAATAGGTGCCTAACTGCATTTGTGCCTTTGAAATTCTCTCCCCCTTTGGCCCTGGCTGGTGTTTCTTTTTACTGGTTCTCCCTTTCATGGTAAATTTCATGGTAAATTAATGGAAGTAATTGTTAAAAGGACCAAAACAAGCTATAAATAAATACAATCATTGTCACAGAATCAAGTTAGTTAAAATGCAAGTAAATGGGCCATATTCACCCTCATGTAACTCCACTGAAATTATTTCCACCACAAAACCCTTCGCCCAAATGCTGACTACTTGGTTAAGCACTGGAATAAATTGTCTAGGGAGGTTGTGGAATCTTCATCATTGGAAATTTTTAAGAGCAGGTTAGACAAACACACCTGTCAGTGATGGTCCCATAATACTTAGTCCTGCCATGAGTGCCGGGGACTGGACTAGATGACCTCTCGAGGTCCAGTTCTATCATTCTACTTCCCACCTGGATTGCTGCATTTTTCTCTTTGGCCTCCCACAATTTTGCTCATGCCCCTTGAAACCATCCAAAATTCTGCCAGAAAAAGCATTTGCTTTAGCCTAATCACATACAGCCCCTCTCCAAATGCCTGGCTGGGCTCCCATTCCCCGCTACATCAAATTTAAGCTCTTTGCCTACATTCAAAACTCAGAACCGCCTCTTATCACCCTTCATTCCCCAGCCTATCCAGGCCACATGCCTCACTGTTAAGCTTTGTCTCCAGTCCCTCCCTAATCTAGTCTCCAACCCCCTTTCCTTACATCCCCTTACAAATGGGACCCTCTGTCCATCTCTCTCCTTAATATGCACTTCTTCCAAAAGTCATTGCACCAGCGGATCTGGCTTTGGGGAGAAGCATTAGGTACTTCACCTGGTAGCTGAATTTGCTGTAAATCACTTTACATTTAGGCAGCTGAATAGGGAAAACGCATATTACTGATCAAGGGGAAAGGGGAGTGTATTTCATACATGACCGGTATAGCATCTGGGTTGGAGTCCTGCACCACCGTTACAGGTGCTGATTCACACACCTGTAGGGTGACCAGTCAGCAAATGTGAAAAATCAGGAACGGTGTGTGGGTGTGTGTGTGGGGGGGGGGGGAATAGAAGCCTATCTAAGAAAAAGACCCCAAAATCGGGACTGTCGCTAATCAAATCGGGACATCTGGTCACCCTACATACCTGGCTCCCAGGCCAGGAGAGCGGTTGCGCGCGCAATCTGAGATGGCGAAGCGCGTGCAAAGATATTTCCCACAATCCCGCACGAGCGAAAAATCCCGATCTGGCTTCAATC